CACAAATAGCCATTGAGCTGATCATAAGAGTGTAAGTAGCCCGGTAGCGTAATAGTTGACGCAGCCGCACGGGAAGCGGAAGATGGGGCAGGGGACATTATTATTTGGGGATTTTAGTCGAGTCCATAAGACCCTCCCCCTTTTTTTTCTTTGGGGAGGGAGTAGATACGACTCATGTGAAACAGGAAAAGCCGCGAGACAAGCACGACCCCCCTCCCCCAGTTATCAGATTTTCCCCAACTTCCTGCCACTTTTTCCAAAATTTCCCGAAAACTTCCCTACTTTTTCCCAAAAATTTTGCTGTCGAGCGGGGGGATATATAGTACGCATGAAACAGGAAAATCACGAAAAGTCAACCACCACTCCCACCACTCCTAGAAAGGCCAGAAAGTAAATACGACCCCCCTCCCAACAATGAGCAAGTACGACCCCCTTTTACAACGTCCGTGAAGCGAGAAAAATCAACTATCAAAATAAATTTTTCTCAGCCCAAATACGACCCCCTCTCCTGGCGGCCAAATACGACCCCCTATTGGGGATTCAATAACGATGTGCCCTGAGATGGGGATTCGAATCCCGCCCATGGTCCGTCTTTTGCCCACAACTCAGCACTTTTGTGATAACAACTCACGCAAGTTTGAACGTGACGACCTTTCCAAACCCTGTGAAGACCCTGTGCTTTTATGGACAAAAACTACTTACTATCAGGAGTAACACCTTTCCCATTTTCGCGTGGAAGCATAATGCACGGCGCATACTCGGACGGATGTTCACTATTGATGACATCCATCGCGAGACGGGTGATGGAGGAGTGCGAAGAAAAGCGACGACCTTTTTCCATAAGCTTTCTGGATTTTGAGAATTAACTCTGTCTCCGTACTGCTCCAGAGAGCGCTCGGGGTTACAGATTAGCCGGTCCCTGAGCGATATGCACGGCGGGTCTAAGGCAACTATAGGCACTCTCCAGCAAAGTAGACATCATGGTTGAGCTACACCGACGAGGAGCTCTTCTAAGCCCGTCCTTGTTCGTGCTAGCTTTGGATGATATGGCAGAGTAACTGAATCAGAAGCATAGCGGACATTAGAGAAGAGAGAACTCCATATCAAAGAAGACGTCTGAAGAAACTTACTGCAGTGATCTAGCTTGTGACGGTAGCATGGACAAGGCGTTCGAGGGCCCATATAGAGCTACCTTGGGATGGAGTGACAGGTATGTCCACGGTATCCATGCTACAACGGAGACTCCACGGCGCTCAAGCGACAGGCTGTACTTTTGCGTAGTCATGCGATAGCTCTCGGGTCTGGCCCGTTGTTGTAAAAACAGTCTTGCCAGTTAGCTAAAATGGGAGAAACAATCTATCCATTTCAATCCGCGCGGACGCTGAAGGCCACCAAAAACAAGCGATTGCGGATCAGGCACGAAGAGACGGCCAGGACCACCTCGTTAGAGGAGCATTGGATTTCGAAGAACAGAGCGAGAATCTGTACTTCACTAAATGAAGTTTGAATGGTAAACTCTTCAGCGCTGACCGATTCTTTTGGGATGTGGCACACATTCGAAGTCAAGGTGTGAAGGTTTGGATAGCCTGCTCTCGAGCATATATGCCTGACCATGAGCCCAGAACAGGGCGCCTCGTGTGCGGCTTTGTTAGTATACTACCTCCGCGCCTTTTTCATAAATAAAAGATTGTGCATTGTTTTATGGAAATCAAAAGAGCACTGACCGGGTAAAGCGCAAAGCCTGTCACAGTGCGTTAGGGTTTTGCATAAGCAGACAAGGTGCCGAGTAACACGATAGTGAAGGAAAAAGCAGAAAAAAAACATGCCAACTGCCCTAGATCGAACCACATTTAGATCCCAGTTTGCAGAGCACAATTACCTCCATCTCCAACACTCGCCTCTATCTAGTACTAGCTGATTCCCGATATTAATCTATGACCGTACAAGTTAATGGAATTCATGCTTTTCGTCCTTGCCAGCTTCGTTTTTCACTGGAAGGCGGGCCTGACGAATAAAGACTACCGTTGTACTTCTACACTCGATTCTTCAACAAACTGTGTTTGCTTTTATTTTGTTGAAAAACGTGGCGAATGACAGAATTACATTTAAGAAAACTCGAAAACTTCACCTTTTGATAAAGTCAGAGCGGGTCTGACTGAAGAGGACTGGATGATGTCTCCAGATGAGGAGTCAGTAAACAATAACGCAGGTATGACTGGTATTCTCATTTCTTTTTGTCGAGGGGATAGAAGTTCAAGTCTGTAAAGGTGTCGTGTTGAAGTATGCAGTGTGTCCAGTCCGATAAATGTTTTTGTTTTTATCACGTTTTTTGCGGGTATCTGGAATTATCATATTTCCTGGCGTCCTGTTTGCGAAAAACGACTTGCAGCCGCTGTGGATTAATTGAGGAGTGGGCGGCTCAAGCTCAATGGTACGAAAGATCATTTTTTTATTGTGGAATGTGAGATGGTTCCTTCTCAGAGATGCGAGGACCCATAAAAAAATACAAAAAAAAACAGGCGGGATCATCATGAAGAGAACAGGACTCATGGGAAAAAAGGGGACGCGTCACTCAACAAAATAAAAATATTAAGGCGCTATAGCGGCCGCATAACAAACCATTAAACAAAATTATATAGTTCAGTCGCGAAACGAAATACAAGCGCTCTGTTTCGTCGCGGAAGACCCCACTCAATAGCAATGCCAAAATTTCAACCTCTATACCTGGTCGCGGATTGTGCCTTCAAAACCACATTCTTCGTGAGCGCCTTTTGCAAAAGGAACTGAACGGAACAGTCATCGCATTCAATTTTTATTAGACCATAAATACGTAGTGAACGCTTGAGAACCGTTTCACTTCTTATCAACCGTATTAATTAGTGACATCAGTTTGTTGAGATGGCGGCCCGGATTGGCCGGCGCATGCGTTGAGGCTGGCAGTGGCGAAACCGGACTCTCTGAAAAATTATAGGATAAATATTGAAACGATCACCTAGAAAAAGTTTTGTTAGAAATGAAGGTCAAGGGAGAAGATTGTAGCTAAGGCGCAAAGTTTCTGGATGACTGCTAACGGTGGAAAGGTATAAGGGCACGTCCTGGTGTTGGGAGTATTTTTGCGAAATAAGGCCCCGCTTCCTTGAGACGACCACTCCCCTCTCCATAAGCGACCAATCATCTTAGCGAACATCTCCAAAAATTTGCATCTCCAAAAGCGGGCGCGAGGTAGACACTGTACACCTCGGAACAACCCAAGGAGGCAGCGAAATTCTAGCGAGTGACTGGCCGACGTGCAGGGAGAGGGGAGAGCTTGGTACGAGATAAATAATGTGAAATGGGAGGAACGATCAACCATGAGAACTAAATTCTCCTAGACAAGGTACCACCCCCCCCACCCTACAGCGACTAAGTATTGTGGGTAATTTCCGCCACGAAAACGCCAAGTTCCTATGTACTTCTTTCGGCGTCAGCGTAGCTGGGAGGGGGAGGGAGGTTTTTAGCGCTTCTGTAGCTTTTCTTCAAACCAGGCATAAGGCTTAGTGGAATTATGTTCTCCTGTGCGAGGCAGCTTCCTACGTCTGCGCTAAATAGTGCAACTCGAGACCCTGGCTCGGAGAAGGGAGGGCGGACGTCAAAGTGTCCATTCCTTCCTTCTCATCCCTCTTTCGCTTCTTCACGCTCCAGATCAACTTTCTCCACAAGAATACAAGCGCGTAAACCCCACTGGACTACGCAGCACTAAAGAAAAATTTCGGCTGGAAAAACCTTCATTGGAACACAACACATCATAGTAGCTTCACCTATTAAACTGGGGGAGTGCTACCTCTCAGTTGGACATACGAGAGCGAGCTCTCAGAACGAGATCGTTCATTTTGAGCCTAAGTGAACTGCTCGCTGATGAAAACACAACATGTGAAAAAGAGCCATAATGAAGAAAGTTTCCGATGAGCATCCGCCTCAGCTGACCTCCATCTCTGACGATCCGGATATTCTTCAGCCAGTCGGAACTCGTTTTCACATCGTGGACTTCCTTCAGATGTTTGTCGATGTTTGTGGGAATCTGCAAAGAAGAGGTAGATTGCCTTTACTGATTGAATTGAACAAAAAAAAAGACACGAATCGATCTCTCCGCATTTGACACAAGCTAATTTCACCCCATCGGATTTCATCTGGAGTTTGAGATTCAGCACTTTTTGACGGTCCATCTGGATCAAAGAGCTGAACAGATTATAACCTCGTCATCCGGGCAGTTGATTAGGGCGGTCGTCAACGGGCCGCAGCGCGTGCCAGGAACTATTTGCTTTTTCCAGGCTAATTTAGTCATTTTTTTCCACCTTGTGAAGAAGGAGCTAATCTGGGAAAAAGGGTAAGCAAAACAGTGAAAAGTTGGAAAAAATGACTAAATTAGCCTGGAAAAAGCAAATAGTTCCTGGCACGCGCTGCGGCCCGTTGACGACCGCCCTAATCAACTGCCCGGATGACGAGGGTACATGAGGCAAATTCCAAAGGAAAAAGGAGAAGTTCAAAGTCTTCGATCAGTTCTTATTGCGAATGCGGATTGTAAATAATAAAAATATATTCAATAACAAAATGGTAAGAAGCCACTGAAATGCAATTATGGCCAGACAATGACTTGGGTAAGGCAGAACTCAGAAAGAGGAGCGATTCTTCTCCCTCTCCAAGCTCAGCCTTAGCAGAGCAAAACAGTCCGAGTGTCCAAGTTAGCGCCTGCGCTAAAGGTTATTTTCGTGCTCAATGCGCTAACCCCAAGTCCGCAAGCTTAGGCTGCGTTCATACTCTGCGGCAGCGTCACGACGTCTTTCCTAGTCGCTGGCGTGGTGTTCGAGGAAAACGCCAGCGCCAGCGGGACTAGGAAAGGTTTCAAAATATCGACTCAGCGAACTCAGCGTCCATCACGATACAGCGTCTCAGAGACTAAGGAACTAATTACAACTATTGATTATCGGAGTCAGGTCACGCTGAAGCTAAAGAGCTTCTAATTACACAGTAGAGAAGTATCGAAGTAGATAGAGAAGCGTAGAGCATGCATTGAATTAGCGATCTAATTGCGCGTGTGCAGCACGACATTCGGTAGAACTCTTGAAGCACCCAGAATTTTATGCCAATTCCTTGATACACTGGCTACTAGTGGCAGTTGTACCGGTAGCGATTGGCCACAGAGAACCAATATCATGCCGCTGATCCAGCTGTTGACTTTAACCCTCCTACTTTCAATACTTCCACACTGGATCGTTGTCTACGCAGGCAACGCTGGTGGAACGCTGATGGACGCTGGGCTCGCTAGATCATAATAATCTATAGTTTCCTAATACTGGGCTTTGGTCCAAATGTTACCATGGAACTCTGGTTGCAAGGTGCCGCAAAGTATGAATGCAGCGTTATAATAATTGTGGAGGAAGGAGGTAGTAGCGCCGGCCTCACACAGGCGCAGAATGGCACTGGCATCAAAGTGAATGTCGTATTCCCGATCAAAACATCGAATAATTCTCGCAGGCAAGTTCGTACCGATTTTGGTGGAAAAAGTGGTGGCGCTAAGTCACCTTGGCACGATTTCTTTGCGCTGGCGGCCATTTGGGGCCGGCTCATGTCAGAGAAAAGGTGTCAAGATGATGAGAGATCGTGCATGAGCTCATTGATCAACTTTTAAGAAAAGAATTTAATTGTTTTTTGGGTAAGTGAGGCGGTTGAATGCTGCCGAGAAGCTGTCAATTCCGCCTCTCTATTGCTGGCACGACCTACCTGTAGGTTTTTGGAAGATTATTGAAGTGTTGAGTGTCTTGCATGTGCCTGACCAGCATTTCCATCGTTTGGAATGTTCGACCACATTGCAGACATTTCAAAATCGAATCCACTTCAGTGTCTCGTCGTTGGGGCGCTAGAAAGTGTTCGTGGATAGTAGGCATTGACGGGTACAAGCAGCGTGAAGGATTACCGTTCAACATCGATTCCCCATGTAACTTTCCGACAAATTGAAACAGAGCTCCTAGACCATTGCTGAATGGATTCGGCGGTACTCGAGGCTGTTGTACTGCTGAAAGTTCGCACAACCTTAGCTGTTCATAACATTGCCACAAGAAGCAAAAGTGTTCTTCCTGGTTTCTAGTTATACTCGTTTTGATAGGTTTCTGCTGTAAATGATTAGAAGAGAGTAATATGGTACATCTATTAGGTTCGCCTTGGAAGTGCTTCTGCTTCTGTTTTACTTCTAGCACGGACTAGCCTACTTGTGTGTGAAGGTGAGGAAACAGTCCTTCCCCTCGAAACGTGACCTGATTGAGCAGATGGCAGTCATAAAGGCTCCATTTAGTTTTTTTTACAAAGCTTTCATACAGTTTTGTTCAACACGGATGTGTCGGGGGCCGTGTTCGTCATGGCTCCACCAACTGTTGAAGAGGCAAGCAACAACGATTGATGAAAAGCTGGCCCGCCTCCTAACACGCCCAAGCGAAGTTCGCAGCGAAGTGAGGAAAGTTTAGGAAATTAGAATATGGGTTGGGTGGCCAGAAAAGGAAATTCAAGGTGAGGTCGTACGGCATCGCGATTCCATACATCGTGATGTTGTACCGTGGGCGTTTGGGAGAGATGGGAGGATAAGCAGGAGAGGAGGGGATGTGCAGTAAACCTGCACTTTAAGGAACGCCGAAACATGTTGAATGTGCAGGTGCTACCGCGAAAACTACCACTTAGAGCATCATGCATTAACCCAGTACATACCCACACTTTTCGTGGAAAACAGCTTCAACTGGTATTTGATCCATTAAAATGACCAAGAATGAGAAAGCACCTAATCACGCTCCTTCTTCATACTGATCGTTAGAGACCACGTATTGTGAGGAAAGTTGCAATGGTTAGTCTAGTAAACACAAGAAGTTTCACACAAAAAGTTGCAAATGCAAGAGGAGAGATTGAGGAGATTGCTAAAGAACGTTTGAAAACGTTGCAATATGGCTCCCGCTCTTTCTTGTGATGGAATAGGAGGGTAGTATCGTTTTGTAGATTGCAAAGGAAACTCCTGGATAGCTCGTAGAGGTGACTACTAATAAAAAAGGATAAAGTCTTCGCCGATCAATCCCTTTGTGGGATGCGGCACGCATTCTACTTCCATTCAGAATCGTAGTGGCTTATTGAATGCGATGTGGCCTATACAATGACTTGCGGTGGCCAGCCGATGTACAAGTCAGTGTTTTATCCTCCCAGACGAA